GATCGGCTTTTCTGTTCACCAGGACGAGTAGGGAGGCAGGGGAGGTCACCTCGGTGCGCAACCTTTTTTCCATTTGCGCGACCGTCACCGCGGCTCTTCAATTAGCAATTCAAATATTTCCCCTTCATTTCTTTTAGAATCGACTTCGAGACTAGAAAGCTCTCAAAGCCTCATAAGAAATTCTCTTCCTTATGTTTTTCCGCGATTAAACGATTTGTTCATTATAAAATGATATTTTTCTTTGTTAAGCAGAATCATTGAGTTACTTTTGTAAATTTATCATAATTAAATTATTACTTTCATTTCATTTGCCTTTCTGTCTCATCTTTTATTCGACTATTCATAACTGTGAATGAACCTTCAAAATTTGACGAGTATCCTGTAAAATATATGTTCCTTTAAGTTCTATTAAGGAAGACTAATTCCTATCTTAGAATTGTTTAAAACATTTAAATAGAGGTTTATGTAAAATTAAAATTCATTAAATAAACACTAAAACTGTATTTAAGGCATCGATGTTGAACTAAGAGGCTTTTAATTAAAGTTGCTCGAGCTATCTATAAAACCATTAAACACTTCTATTCAAACAAGTAAGAAACTTGTTTCGGTATATTTAATGATAGGAACTTTTTATATGTACCGCATTATATGATATAGAAAAAAATCTTAATACAAATTAACTTAATTTAATAATAATATTTGAATTCGCAAATGACTGCCACTAAAGTAAGTACAAACAGAACACTTTGTATTTAACAAAAGTTGTGTTAAACAAAAGAGCTATGAAAACAAATCCTTATAGAGAATATGGTTTGTTTACACTTTAAAAAGTATTTTTTGTTGTTCTACCATAACATTCAAGATATAGTGAAAGCAAAGAATAGATATGAAGCGGTGACCGGAGAAAAGACTACCTATTTCAAATAAAAGTTATACACATATTTGTATAATATCCATGAGTTTGTGAATAATAAAAATTACGGAATCAGACTTTCTAGAATATTTAATTAAAGTATGGCAGTGCATAATATAAATTTACTTCATTGTTATAATAATATGTTACGATCTTCTGAGTGGTACATACGAGTATTATGTATTATATCGACTTACCTTTGTATAGTATAACGGGACATAAAATATAGATCCATAAAGAAACATACAACACTAATAGATGGAAGAATATATATATAGATAAACGTAGAAACGTCATTTAGTGTTAAAGCAAAAGAAGTTCTTCTAACATCGGATAATGCTTGAAAAGAGTGTTTAAATAATGTAATTGAGTTTGCATTTCTTCTAATTCATGAAGTAGTGCCTTAGCACATCGTTCGAAGCAGTCATATTCTTTATGTCGACCAGCGCGATAGCGCCTCGTTATTTGCTCTACTCTCAGTCTGGATGGGCCCTAAGCACTTAAATTTATCTGGGCGTAAAGAGCTCGCATAATCCGGCCTTCGCTGGACCTTAAAAGATAATACCATTCGGACTCTGTTCATGGAATGGAAACATGAATAATTATACCGTGAATTAATTATTTCCAAAGAGCATAAGGACATGCGTCCAACTTGACGAGAACGTGGGCACACGAGTCCAAAGCGAAATTGTGAATAATTAATTGTCAACTGATTAGCTAATGTGGACCGTAACACATTACGATTATTATTATTACAAACTATGTCCCATACTGTTTAGTTTTAATTGTCATACTATAAACCGAACTCAGGTCAACTAATCCGAGAGGTAGCGGTAGGTTCGCTCCATGTAGGAGTCGAATGTAACCCAGCGAAATGTTCACACGGTCAGTATTGTCTCAATCCCTCTGACTTCTCCATTGACTGATAAAGTCGCATATATATATATTATGTTCTAAACAAATTTCTTAGTATAGTGTATATCTTTATGGTGGCTTTATATTGGACGCCAGTTTTACTTAGCTACATGTAGGGTACGCGTGCCCCAGGGGTGTGACGCTGTGCAAACTATAATTGTTAATTTCGCACAAGTTACAGAGAAACACATGTTCAGTTCACTTGTTATGAGAGTGTGCTGCCATTGAATGTAATGTTTGGCCAACTCTGGCCCCAGCTAATTACAAGCTTTTATTTAACTTCTCTTGTTAGTATAACCGTGTAACTTTTGAACGAGTACTCACTGCCGGGCTCGTTTCAGTTTAATGAAATGTCGTATATGTCGCTGCAAAATGTAGAATTGATCATTATACGTACGTAGCCGACCGTTTCGTAAAATGATTGCATTTCAGTATAAAGTTTTATGTTTATTGAAATGGTATGGTAAGTAGCAGTAATAATATCATGGAAAGTACCGTGTTGCTATTACTAAGAATTAAGTTCAATTTTGAAAGTAAGATTTACAGCAGCGTATATAAAGAAAAACATCTTTGTGCACTCAGTCAACTCTAATATTCGATAAATAAATATATATATCGAATAGTAGATGGAAGGGATCTATAAAGATCATTAGTTATAGATCGGCACGGAGCGATAAGATTACTTTTTTATTTCCTAATTCCATTACAAAATTTTATCGCGTTTCACGTTACACCACCTGGTACCTAAATTACAAGCTCAATAAATAAATGAGTAAATAAAGCTACATTGAACACTTTGACACATTTGGGCCCGCTTAAGTAAACGGAAATGTCTTATATTAATATTCTTAAATAAGGAATAGATGAATGACTTTTTCAAAAAGAAGGTACACAAAATCTATATCATAAATAAGTACAGATAATAATGTATACCCAATTATGTAGTCCTAAACTAAGCAGCTACTTATAATACAAGCTGTATTATGAATACGACTCAACTAATAATCATACTTTGTAATAAATATTAAAACATAGCGATGTCCGAGAATGAAACCCACGATCATTGAAAAATAAGCAGTATGCTAATTCACCAGCCCATTGAATCAGAGGTAAGTAGCTAAAATACCCTAAACATGAATAAATGCTTTTGAGTTTGAATTTTATTTGAAGTGAGTTAAAAGTGACAGCCACTTGAACCTCACACGAAGGACAATTTAATAATTTCAAAGAAATTCAACATGCCCCTGTCAGCATCAGTGCGAACGCCCGATAAAAGAATTTAGCTTACATTACGCTTCTGTAGTACACGTATATGGCCCGGGGCTATTATATTTTATTAATGGACTCGTTAATAAAACCTTTTTACAACTCCAGCTACCTTTTGTGGCTTGTATTGAATAATAGTTGAATTTCATTTTACACGAACGGCAGCGATATTGCGAGTGTATAATGGAAAGCTTACTCTTTAATTTTTTTTTATTTTTAAACGCCACAGACAAATTCATTTTCTCTATTATATAACTACTATCAATACAAAAATGTAGTGTGTAGTGTTTATTCGCGTGTAGTTTTTTTCCCTGCATACTGAAGGTAGAGTATTTTTTTCCGTAGACAATAATGTGCTCGAGATGAAAAATACGCGAGGAAATTACTTTTGTTCAGATTCCAGGAATTATATAATTTCTTTTCTTAACATTTCCAGCTTTGTTTTTTAAGTAAATTATATCTTTCACATACACTCTCATGCACTGATGTTTAGTTTTTTTGTGAACCGATGCGTCACCTGGTGTCATTGCTGTATAAACATAGGTAGTTCGAAGAGTACTTTTCTATTACATATATATTGCCTGATAGCATTTACAGATAATTCCTAATACTCAAAGGTCAACAAAGAAGCATAAAAACGGTTAAGCCAGCGGGTAAAAGCCTTATCTAGTTTCAGTACAAAATACTTCAAACTTTTCCGCAGCCGACGAATGGCTACAGAAATGTTGCTGATGGTTCCCTGAAGCTGATGTTTGGACAGGTCATTTGTCATTATCTCGGGGGAGCAGATGATTAGTGTAAGAAAAAAAAGAAAGAAAATATATTTTATTTTATGACGAAATATAGGGTTTGCGTAGTACTTGCATCCATTAGTGTAATTTTAAACCAATATTAAAGAGTATTTTATTTTATTTTAATTTACTGTTTCATATTATTGTTCTTATGTCTTCATTTGAGACGGAAAATGATACTAACAGAACGTAGTCTTGTATAAGGTGTTAGTATTGTTAGTAATTTTGTTTGTCTATTGTAAACAAAATCATAAATTTAAATATACAATACAATTGAGATATTCAGATCAAGTAAAAATGAGCCAAATTGACATGACGAAATAGATGCTCATTATTGCCATTCATGAAACTTTTCTGAAGTTGTATTAATGATAGTTCGCAATTAGTCCGGGACTTTAGTCTTTAGGAATGACAACGCGTTAGGTCCATGTATAGGATTTGTAGAAACTAAGTTCCTTTGCTTCAGCACCTTATTATTTATTACATATACTTCATAGTATGTAAACCATAGAGAGGACTAATGAAAGCAACTTTGTAAAATCTAAAGGGTACATTTTTAACTGGCCCGCTTATTTAAAGTACCGATGCCTATGTCCAACATAGGATATACTTAGAATCAAAAGCACATACTTCACGTCATGATGTGACTGTCGTAGTATCCCTCAGGTGTTGCTCGACCACTATTCCCCATTATATGTATACAATCCGTAATACGTAAACCTGTTTTTACAATAAACATTTTTTCACGAGCGATCTAACGCACGCTGGAAAGGCCATACGCGCATTCCTGAGCATTAGTTCCTATATGTTTTTTGTACTAACTCTTTCATGTGTAATAGCGCATTGTTTCGTGTCGTTACTTTTTAATATTTATTTTATTTCCCAAAGACAAGTTTAATATTCATAATTCATCGATGACTACAATTACATCTTTGCTCTATAGACAGATATGCGCCATTTTACAATAATTAATTATTAAAAAAAATCATTAAAGCACGCACGATTGATGAACGCGGGAATGCATGATCAGGCGGCGTGCGCGACGTTGTTACATACACACTCTTTCTAGCGTGAAAAAGAGTACTAGGAAAGGTAGCTATTGTTTAATTACTTACCATCACCAAGCAGCGGTTGAACGTCTGCGTCTGGTCTACCAGACGGGCACAAGGGTAGAGCAGGCGGAGATGATGGGCCGCCACCTTCGGATTCCACCTTAAACAATACAAAATAATTTAACATACTTTCATGATAGCCTAGATGGGGTAATCAGAAGCATTGACAAGGAAGTGAATACAGTACTTTATATGTTCATATTTCGTTGATGTATTTCATTAATATAGCCTAATAGGGACCCTCCCTATTAGGCTATTGTTTCCTAACATTTTTAATTAATTTTTATCAAAAGAAAATGTTTGCTTGCTTCTCTTTATAAACACAGTATATCTTACTTTCATATACATAGTCAATGTATATGAAAGTAAGATATACTGTGTTTATTTGCTTATAGTATTATTCAATTGTAATTTCGGTTATTAAAACTCAAATTCGTTTGCTTTTTATAGATATTTCTACAATCTTTCTGAAAAACATGTGTTTCAGCATTCTATTTATAAATATTTCTATTAATTGTATACCCTTTTTTTTGGAATGTGGATTAATAACCCCATTGCTAGGAATATATCATATCTGGTTGTCCTCCACACTGTTCCCCTTGGAAATCCTCATGTTAAATTCCTGGCATTTTGAGTTAAAAATAAAATATTACTTTTCCATTGCTTGCATGAAATATAAAACTAGATTTTAAACCCTACGCCCAATCGTTCGAAGCGTCACAGTACTACAATATCTTCATTCTCAGATAGCTCAAAAACTCTAGTATATATAATAATGATACATTTAAGTGAGTTAAGGAATACTACTGTGCCATCAGCCGCAAGTAAACACTTAGGCGAGATGTCAGAAATACTTTACATGTACGTCCCAAGAATTTACATCCATTAATAAAATGTGTTACTGCGTGAGATGCCACACTATATCCACACATAAAACAACGAGAGAAAATTCATAGCCACGAGTATCTTGTACTGAGAGTCTGCTACATATTTATTATGTATATATATTGTAAATACGAACGGTTTTTTTCTGACAGCCTACCTAATGATAACCGAATACTGTCGACTATGTACATGTATAGCACTACGGAAGTCATGTTATCATTTGACAATATGACTTCAGTGATATCACGTAGTACCATTCTAGAGGATTGAAACACCCTGTGCTTGTCTTGGAATTTCACTGGCTTTTCTCATACTACAACCAAAACATAGCTTACAAAGTCAGCGCCTATGCGGCTATTATAGATGAGAGAGAGTTTGTAGGCCTCTGTGGTCCAGCGGTTTAGTACACCGCTTCACTTCCGATGGTTGCGGGTGAGGTGAGGTGATGAGGATATTTATTTGATTGTCTGGATGTTTAATATGTATACTATGTATGTATTAAAAAAAATATAAGTGTTTATATAAGTTGTCTTGTACCTGTAACACAAGCTCTGCTTACCGTGGGTCTAGATGGCAATGTTATATTTGTCCAGGTTATTTATTTATTTATTATTTACATGTAGGATTAAGGTATCCACGCAGACATATTTTTACAGTGGAATACTTCGGAACGTACGTTCTTAGTTAATTAATTAACATTCGATGTTATATTACTACTGGACTCTACTACAAACTATAAAATGTTTCAACAGAATTTGGATATTTTGTATTCTATTACATTAGTAACATAATTTAATTCTGTTTGCACGAACTTCGTATTCGGTCCCTTCGAATTACGAACCGGGTGGCATAATTAAAATGTCAACGCGGTTTTCAGAACAATAAATTTATAGATCAGATGTGTCTGAGGTAACTAATTTGTTTAGTTGCGTTCATGTGGATTTTCATTAGGTTTAAACCGCATTACTGTATTCCAAATCTTTTCGGTTATTTGAAAAAATCGTTTCTAGCAACTATAGTTCGTTTTATATTATAACTAAGTACTCGCTCCGGCTTCGCAGTGGTGTGCATGTATTATTATATATATAAAACTTCCTCTTAAATCACTCTATCTATTATATTAAAAAAAACCGCTTCAAAATCCGTTGCGTAGTATTAAAGATTAAAGCATACATAGGGACAGACAGCGACAGCAACTTTGTTTTATACTATATAATAATTATGATGATCATGAAAAATATATAATCAAGTAATTATATTTTTCACTCAGATAATAAATCTATACTACTAATAGATATTCTTATTATTTATAATATAGTAATTTACATCTGTTTGCATAAATTTGTGTATATATTTCATTGTGACTCGTATTATTGTACCTATTTCCACTTCTCCACAGTACATCTCAGTCACTGTAAGGTTGATTGGAAGAAATCCCTCTTTATTTTTCAAGTCTTTGTCTTTGTATCCCCTTATCTTTCCTTTTATTGTACAACAAATTATTACAAAAAAACAAACAAACACAATAATAATTTTCTACTAATATAAATTCACATCACTCTCGATTAACCTACGTATACACGTATATTTCTCACAGCTTTTCAAATGTTGACTGAAAGAGATTCCTCTGTGAGATAAATCTGCCTTTGTATATTGAAATGTTATCAGGTATTTCTTATGTAAACTATGTTGAATAGTACTTGAGATGACAAAAGAAATCAAGTAAGCAAATATATATTAATATGGTAAGAAATACTAAGGGTACCAAAAAAATATTACTTTCACTATGTATGTAGGTGATCATATGATATTGCTGAGATTATATGATACCATATATAGATTCCTTATCATTTCACCTCAAATTACTGTAATAACTTGAGCATTGTTGAGTTGTCGGCATCGTTGTAGCGGTTTAGCACACCGCTTTACTTCCAATGGTCGCAGGTTCGATTCCTCGCACGGTGAACATTTGTATTCATGATATGATTATTGTATCGGTTTTGGTATTTCCTATATATATTATGTATGTACCATATCACAAGCTCTGCTTACCGCGGGACTAGATGCTGTTCATTGTCCAGGGTTATTTATATATTTTATTTTATTTTTATAAGATTATGTACCGGAATAAAAGTAGTTCATTATTTTTTGCTACAAGCAATCTTTTGAAATTCACAAAATAATAAGAAAAAATTTACTATTATAGGCAGATTTTATCAACGCACAGACAGATACAGGTAAATTCTAACAAACATAGTCTTCTATGTATATATATCTATCACTTACATTATCATTATATAAAGATTTTCCAATACAATACAATCGCGATATCTTTTACAGATTAGTAATACCACATCTAACTTATTAATATAGCAAAGAGAGGTTTCACACGATTCGTTTTATAGTATATAAAGATTTACATCTTGTTTCGTCTGCATTGCACTAGCCATGGTCCTATCTATTAATAATAGCACCTATTGTCGGTCGTTCCTTCGTGTTGACTCAGCACGTTTTCTTGCCTTATTTTCTGTACATGCCATTCATACTGTCGATTTGTCATCGGGAGGCGAATTTCGCGTCTGAATAGATTATGTGAATACAACGGGGGATGGAAATTGAACTGCGAATCGCAAGTACAGAAAGGGTAAAGTTTTCACTTGGATATTTCTAAAGTTATTTTCTATAACAGAATGAGAAAGGTACCTACCCTTCTATACCCTACTATTTATATGTTAGCTAGGTATGTATAGCATTTTATTTCGAGTACCTATTCTTTATTTCAAGTTTTTCTTGTCGTTTATCACGCTGCCTTAATTGGATGTCGCGAGTCTCTACCAAAATAATACGTATAATTGTATTAATTACCATATTCTTTTGTATTATTCTAGGCGATTTTTATATGTATCATCATATATACGTTTATGATCATACATAAGTTTAGTTGTCCAGTATTTATACTGCAAAATGTGCATAGTTTAGTGTTGAATATAGTTTATATTGAAGTAATGTACTTTGTTCTAATCGTTGGCTTAATATTCTAGACTCGTAGAGTAAAGAGCTTATGTAAATATATATACAAAGTAAAGCCGAGGGCTAGTGTTAGTAGTCATTATTGCCATAAAAAAATCCCGATTGAAAAAAACGTACCATATATAATATAAATGTGTATTAGAATATTAGTGGGTACTTACTATAATACGTTGCTTTAATATCAAATAAGCTTTATTTCATTTTAAGAGTAGGGAGGAAGTCTCTTTCCCCTTTCCTTGCTTTACCCCTTTATTTTACGCTAAAACAATTCACCACCAAGTCCTACCTGGGTATTCAGTGTGTGGCATTGACAGCCATTGCGGTCAGCGTTTGTCGACGAAGTTCTACCGATAAAATGCTGTGCACTAACTTTAGTACTACTACATTCCACCATAAAAGAATACAATGGAAAACAACACTCACAAACGTATGGAACATCACGGAAAAAAGCACTAATTAATATATTTTTTTATTTCTAAATTCCCTTCTAACATTTACGACCGATGTCAATAAATTTTTTTTTTCCATATTCGTCCATCTCCTTTTCAGTGATGAAACAGGCAAAGATCCTTAGACCATACAGCCTAGTCTACGTTTATACTTCTTCCTATTTGAACAAGTGATGAGGCCAAAGGCCAATTCTTATGTATGTTTATTCATTATGTTTTCATTCGTGTTCAAAATAATTAAACGATTTTTTTTCTATTAATGTGTTTTACGGCTCTGGATAGAAGTCCTTTTTAGCTTAATTTAAAGTTTTTATTTCAGTATAGTGATTACATAGATAATTAGTGTCTTATTTCCGTGAAAGAAGGTATGTTTTACGAATAGAAGATTAATTTGGCTTTTGGCTTTCAAAATGTGTACAGAGGTTCCATTACGTTATTACGAACTGTTTATATTTCATTTTCTTTGTCTTGGCCTAAGTAGTTTGTTATTGGAGGTAATTTCTACTTTGAGGGAATGTATTACTGAGCGTTGTCATTTATTTTTTTCCGTCTCTTCACTATATACTGAATAGAAATATTTTTATTACTTAAATACATTCTATTTTAAGCAATTTTGAATAGTCATTGTTTTGTTAAAGTGCATTGTAAACTGGTTTATTGTATAACACGGGAACGCGCAGGATACCATGGGGATGATGTAACAAAATACGGTAAAAGCCCTTAAAATATGGAAAGA